CTGGTTGATGGCGTTTGAAGCAAATAGGAAGAGCTGTACGAAGCAGTATAGTTATCAAAAGTCATAAAAGTGTTTGTCATTCTACAGATCAAGCTCCCCTTTGCCGAGACATGTGATTAGTTGAGTCAAGATCAAAGCATCAGGTATATTTTGGTCAAATTCCAAAGTTTAAACATACCATACATTATCGTAATTGTGATTTGATGACCGAAAATCCAGTCTTAAAAATGATGGCATTCTCATATTCAAGAAACGCTGCGATCTTGTTAACACAGTGAACTGGAAACGCTGCTGTACTAGTCTTGATATGTTTAGGATTATCTTGACTATTTCCCTCTCAGGACAAGAAAGGAAAGATCTATTGTATCCCTTGGTATCAAAAGAAGAAAGATTAATTCACATATAAACTTTTTGTTGTTTTTTGTCAATAGCTTTATGTTTCAGCGCACATGTTGGCATTACATCTATTTCACTCCGCTGCGTTTCCGCGTGAATGAAACGCTCCGTCGACCGTGGTGCATGTAAGAGCGTTTGGGTTGGACACCGTGAATAAGGTCTCCATGAGTCAATCGATCGAGTCAATTGAGTATTCCATGCTGAGGTGAATATTCAAAATCAAAAACCTGATATACAATACACGAAACGGTTTTAAAATAGAGTCCTTACATGTCTCATCGAATACTGATGTGCTTGTAGTGTCCCGTTATACATAATCAAACATCTGATACAGGGTGTCCCGAAAACTAATTTTTTCTCATTTAAGAGTTAAAAAATATGACTGTATAAAAACCATCCACAACATATTTCAGTGATTCTAGAAATAGCCGTTCATCTGTTGTAAAATATTAAATCCATAGTATGTACAGGGTGGTCCGCTGGTCTATTCACTGCTAGCCATTTTTCGTGATCAAGGTCGCACCAGGTCCCCTGGCCTCCCCATAAGCCTGCTAGTAGGCCACTGCATGAATCTCATCTATACATCTTTGTGTATAACTGACACACGTGCGGTCTGCCATAATGACAATTAACTGGTAGAAATGTGCAATTTGGAAACTAAATTTCCAATAAATTGCCCTTGAACTGACCAGAAATTCCCCTCTAAATGATCCACACCCACATTCTTTGATACAATGTTTATTTTTCAGAGACACCACTGGATTCTGAATTTTTGCAGTATTATGTAATTTTCAATAAGGAACAAAATGATATATAACATGATAGGATACATATGAATTTAAGGGGGGTATATACATATGTTACACCCTGTACATTATATATTGGTTGGAACGTGATATATCATGTGTGAAGATATATTTATTATTTATGGTGACTTTGAGAGACTCATGGTCAACCAGTAATTCTGTATTTACTTCAAGTTTCACACTTATGGTCAAATGTGATGAACATGCAATCCCAAAACTAGATTTGAAGAGTCTATCTTAGGAATATTATCTCAAATCCCTTCAAACTTATTGAAACAAATTTGACTGTTTTCCCCAAATTTCTGTAAGTACAGTGGGAATGAACAACTTATAAGAAAATATTTACAATCTATGATAGCATGCCACCTTTGTAAAAATAATTGTAAATCGACAAACTCTTCCTATGGTACATACGAGTAACATGTGGTTGTTGTTGTTTTTTATCAAAGTAATTTTTTACAAAGATTTTTCAAGAAGTTGCTGAAGCAAACATTATTGGCAACTATAGCCAACGAGTAACATTCATGATTTTGGTTCATCTAATGATTAAATGAATCTATTTTTGAGTTGCTTCAATGTTTTCCCCTGAAACGTAAATATGCCAGTGAACATAGGAATACTCTCTAGACAATCGATGACGACACTTTTTTCTTTTTAGTTAATAGTTTATACAGATCCTATCTATCTCTTTGGACTATTCTAAATGCATACATGACGTGCACGGACCTGGGGACAATTCGGGAAATACGGGCTGATCTCAGCTTTGAGCGTTAATCTCTGCCCTATTTTAAAAGCTAACTATGTGTTTTATATATTGTTTTAAAGTAATTTTTATTCGCATTTCAGTGAATTATTCTTCCGTCAAAATTTTGATGGGATCCAACATTTTTTTAAAGTTAAATATATACCGACATCGTCAAATACGCTGTAAGACGTAACACTTTACGCTTACAGGGCTCGTTAAAATTGGGATAACTTTTGAAATAATGATCAAAATCCCCCTATAATTTCACAATTAATTCAATGGAACATGTTCATTTATGACGTCACAATTGATTAACGGCTACAGTTCAAATTATCTCTATGAACGCTTTTAATTTTTCAAAATTGTGTAAGATTTTGAAGGGGAATGGGACGAGCAATGAGTTTACCTTCATTTAACCTTCTAATTTGAGTTTGATTTGAAAGAAAAATTGCACAATATTGTCATGGCAAAATTTACAAAACAATGACCAGTTTGTTTATTTTGCAAATAATATTAATATAAGAGCTGGTTTTCGAGACTTGAAAAAAATGTGACGCATCGAATTTTTACCACAAATTCCATACATATCAATTTTTACCAACGCCCCAAGTGGATTTCTTGACTGTTTTTCAAAATTCAAAAACCTTTTAGAAATATTGTCCTCGAAATCTTGCTACCCTTTGAATTTTGTCATGATTAGATAAGGATAAAGTATCTTATTTTTAGGTTGACTAATTTTTACAAAAAAATGACGCTTGTCGTTTTTGACGTTGTAAGGCAGTTTGCGCCATATGGTGCTCATTGCTTTGTCTTGTTTTTTGACGCCATAATGTTACGCTTATTGTCCCCAGTTTCGTGCGACGTGTAATAGTATTTTCGCAAGACTGCAAGTCTGTCAGAAAGTACAATTTAAAAGAACGCTGCCATTCACGGAATTCCCATGACGTCACTAAATCAGTCTCGTTTCGGATCGTTTCGTTTTCGAACGGCCAATCAGATAACAAAGGGATTTCCCCGGGATATTCAAATTCCAGATTTAATTAGTTCCGTTGAAAGTAATTCGATCGCTGAGTATAATCATAAAACTAGCGGTGACAGTGGATGATTTTGGGACTTCTTCGTTGGTGAGTAGATGGATGAATATGTGTTGCTACTTAACATGTACAAAGTTCTCTCCTATATCTCAATGCATTTTTGATTAACCTATATTCCATAAATAGTTCACATAAGTTTCATTCTTTGTAACCATTATTTCTATAGTCGGAGCAAAAATGTGTTGAGGGCAAATTTTTTTTAGCTCCGGGGGTTATTGTAAAAGATAATGGTTAGAGCTAATGTACCAAGCAGGTCTGATTGTTTAGTTTATACTAAGCATTTTGACAAGAAAGCTTCAGAAAGAAGAATTTTTAGGTGTTACAAAGGCACATATCTTTCGGTTCGAAGCTTTTTTTGTCAAAATGTTCGTAAACAACAATTCCTGTAATAACAGGTACCAAGCAATAGGATAGTTTCTAAATAGCAGAAAAATCAATGAAATCTAGTGCTGCCATCTTTTATTCAGCTTTTAACTTGGGCTAGAGTTCCATTCACTTACATGCTAAAATCTTGGATAAGTGGCTTAATTTCATGGTTTATCAAAGTGTGTTCGTTGAATCTGTATAAAACTTGAATGATATACCACATGATGACCCTGTTTATGTACATGTTGTGATTAAACATGCAAATGTTGATTGACATACAAATAATCCAAGGTTTTAAAGAATTCTAGCATTGCATCTATGGACATTTGGCAGTTTTTTTTAAATTGTCATAGAAAATTATTCAAATTACATAACTATGCAAATCAAAGCTATTGTAGGAGAAAACATTTCACTGAATTCAAATATGCCATTTAAAAGGAGGTAATGTAAGTCATTAGAGGTCTAATATGCAAGTCTCTTAAAATCTCACGAAAAACGAGATTTAGCTAGATTTCAAAAGCTATATGGAAACTATACTATTGTATGTCGATTTTTTGAAACGTCATCATATATGATAAATAGTGTTGTTATATCGATTTCATGAGAATATTATGCCTGTCAACGTACATATACCTTTCACTTGTTAAATTGCTATTGTAAATCGCTTCCCCGCAGTCGACAAGCCATGGTATACTCTCAACTTATTATACAAATCCGCATTTCCATGTTCAAGGTAACCGAGTGTCACTACTTAGTGAACCCTTCTCATACATGTCATAACGAGGTTGTGGTTTAGTTAATATGCAGTGATCACTAATGTCTTAAGCAATTTAATTTAGACATGGCGCTTATATATTACCTCTAGTTCAAGTTAATCAGAGAAAAAACGATCTTAGCCCATATATATAGTTTTGTTTTGAACACAATGCCAAAATAAAAGTAGTAGGTCGACCTTGGGAACAAAACAATCATACAACAGGCGGAGGACACATGCAAATAAAATTATTCAAATCGAGACCATCTCAAAAAGTTTGATTTGACCAAACGACGATCCATAAGTTTGTTGTCTCAGCCATCAACCTACATATATGTCAGGCAGATTATCCTCTAGCTAGATTAATTATTGTGTTCGCAACTAAACCCATCAATGGGATTTAGACATATGAGTTCAATCGAATCATGTTCATATCAAACTGTCTACCGGATATTAGATATCTATCGGGATATCGGTAATCTAATGAAAGCAAGTCAGAAAGTGTTGCATTCAGTCAAGTCTGCTAGGCATACGTTACATGGATATGTCCTGGAATGCGTAACTACAAGATACCATCTATTGTCTGGGAACATGCATAATGATGCAAATCAAAGTTGGTCCCCAAGACTGACCTTCTATGTGAAAATTTGGAGGACTTTGGTGGGAAACCACATATTTTGAAAGAAGGGAACAGTCAGATGTTTTTCAAATGCTTAAACAACTATTTAGCAATTTGATCAAATGTAGGTTAAGGTTATGCCATAAATATACTATTTTAAGGCTATTTTACGATAACGATTGATAGAAAAGCTGTTGATATTGTGTTTAGTCAGTAGGTGTGTTTTCTGAGTTCGGGGCGAGATCACTTTATCGAAATGATGAGTCCATGTATCCTAGTTCTGCTATGTGTTTCACTAGGTAAGGTATATAAAGACATCTTTTTTGAAAAGAATCGAAATATATTGCATCTTAATGCAAGAGGTTTTGGCTGCTGAATCCCCATGGAAAGTCGAAGATAAATATAAATTGCCTTATGTAACTTTTTCAAATGTCACGTCTGCCGTCTAATAGCTTAAGCCGGTTAGTAGTGCGTCAACTGAAGATGAACTATCCTAATATTAAATCCCTTGGTAGAGACTGAGTCAATTTTCTGTTCATTGTGATTTGTTTCTGAAATTAATGACTTTGTGGCCCTAGATATTTTAGTTATTTTTGCTGTTTTTTATTTTTAGTTTTTGAAATGTCGATGAGTGTCGTTGGAAACGTTTCTTCGTGCGTTATATCATAGTTTAAGATTTGGGGATTTGTCCTCCTTATGACTGACTTATATCATTTTGATGACTGATGATTTTTTTTGACTTTGTTTTTCCTTGTAGCAGATTTGCGAACATTGTACCAAGTATAACATTACAAAACGAATGAAAGAATTAAAAGAAAAGATCCATAGACTAGCCACGAAAGCCAAAAAAGATTTAATCCTAATTTTACTGCGACGCCCATTTTTCATCAATATTTTTAGATTTCGCTTGAAGGTGTCAACCTGACCAAGGAGCCAATTTATTCACAAGCAAATAATATATAATACTGATAAAAATTTACTGCATTAGAACACACTTAATTCGAAAGGATATAATTGGAATGATGGAAAACAGTGTAGAGGCCACTTTTGCTAATTCCTCAATTGCTAAATCAGAAATAATAATTTTTAAATGCTTTTTTCATTCGAGTTCTATTTTAATAATTTTTTTCTTTCACAAGTTATCGACTTTCATCATTTTCTGGTTGTTATTTTAAATAGGTCTTATTGAAGTAATTCAAATTGAAAAATAGGTCCGATTACTTTTTACAATTACTTATTTATTTATTTTATGATCCATCACAGGAGAGAAACGTAATACACTTACAACGCATCCATACATCTTGCTGAAGTTGCAATCCATCTTTGGTTCAGGAGAACACCAGCACATGTATTGGTCTCAGAATCCAGTTTACAAATTGAATGACTAAAATGGAATCAACATGAATCATTGAATGATTAACACCTCAATTTCTTACCTAAACCTAAATAAGTTGCCAGCTTTTCATTTCTTAAATATTCAAATTTTCTGCCATTTTCATGTAAACGTTCTTCATTTTCTGGTGAAACCATTGTTGGTATTCTACCTTGGATGAGAGAAGTAGAATAATTGATTGGAATAATGCGGATGCGAGTAGGTAGTTACCAGTTTCACCACCAGGTGGCTAGTTCGGGCCAGATAGCATGGCGGGTATAGTAGAAAGTTCCCTTTAACTTAAATTACATCTGTTTGAGTGGTTCAATTTTCATATAACCCTTATGTATCAAATAGTTATGCAAATCAAAATATGTCCAGTTAATGAAAATGTTATCTGACCAATACAAGAAAAGATATTTCACTTTTTGGGATTTTGTAACATGGGGTATATGGAGAATCAACCCGAACTAGAAGTCACACTTTCAAAAATAATTAAATTTTCAAACTCGATAAACAATTTTCGAAACCATATTTCTAGATGTACTTTTACATGTAGATTTCAAATATAACATCGCTTTGACTGAATTTTGAATATTTAATGGCCTAAATCAAGATTTTTTTCTACTCGCATCTAGTCTATTATGAACCCCTATTAAGCTCTTTCTCGATCTTTTGCTCCCTTATAATTATTCCTTGCTAGAATCTTTGAGTCAATTTGAAACATGCTGACGAATAAAAGAAAACACCAACATTCGCCAATCAAATGCTTGGATTAGATCACGTGACTTTATCGAAAGAATATCATTTGCATAAGAAATGAAATTATTTTAGCCGAATGAGGCAATTTGCTAATTTGACTCCATTTTATATTTCAAGCCCACGCAATAACAGAGGGAGATATATCTTTGGGGGTAGAGAGGAACTGGATCGCATCCATAGAATATAAACTAGATTCTGAGACCAATACATGTGCTGGTGTTCTCCTGAACCAAAGATGGATTGCAACTTCAGCAAGATGTATGGATGCATTGTAAGTGTATTACGTTTCTCTCCGTTGATGGAACATTTAAATGACTTTGATTTAACTTTGTGTTAGCATTAATGATTTTAACTGAAATTGTGTTTCATTCTTATTAATATGCAATGCTTTTATATCATTTGGTTTTAGTTCTATAACTGAAGCTGGGGATTGGCAAGTAACTCTTGGAATTCGTGATCTAAATGATGAAACTGATGTACAGAAGAGTAACATTGATACTGTAGTTGTCGTAAGTGTAAACCAGTCGCCCATCAATGAAACAAACGTTCGATTTCTAGAGAATTTAGATGCTTCGTGATTTTCTAAAATGCTCGTCATCCTAGTTTTATAATTATATACATAAACTAAATTGGTTAAAACACTGAAAGATCTCCAATTTCGCCAAAGAGTTTACATTCTCTTTCATATCTTTCAGAATCCTGACTACAACAGCAACACTTTAGTTGGTAATGTTGCTCTGATCCGCATGCAAGAAGACGCAAAATTCGAAAACACCTTAATAGGTATAATTGAAATGGCTTCAGATGCGAATGCATTCCCCGACGGTACACCCTGTTGGGTGCAAGGATGGGGAAAATTAGGCTGTAAGTACAGTGCATTATATCTCTGTGTGTGTTTTAACACTATTTTGGCCATGGTGCAATGTAATAAGGACATAATAAATATAGATTGCTTTATACGAAAGCATTTCAATAGTTCAAATCAACTAAAATCAATTCGCTTCCATCGTGTTACAAAAATTGTGATTATTGTAAATAAGGCGATTGGCAAAAATTTAGGTTAAGACCATACATAAGTGAATGAATGTAAAAAAATAAATGTAATTATTAGGGAGTGAGCTAGATGTCCCGTGGCCTTTACTACAAGAAGCAAATGTTCATGTCATGGAAAACACAGTCTGCTCTCAGTATTGGCCAAATAACAATTCCTCTGGCGGCATAGCAGCTACAGATATCTGTACGGGAAGCAGGGCAGGGGCTTACCCACCTCATGTAACACCCTTCCCATCTCTATGTGGATTGGTAGGAGCCAGTTTATACTTTATTTTTATTTTTCATCTTAATTCTCATTCTGGAATTTTTGTATCGAAACTTTTAATTCTATGTTGTCCTCGTCATAATATATTGTAACCTTGTCTTCAGTGGGACGAAGGTGCGCCGCTGTCGTGTCAAATTGGTGGAAGTTGGCAGCTTGCAGGACTAGGTAGTTGGCATGGCCAGAGGTGTGGAATTGACAACCCACCCGTATATACCAGGATCTCCTCTTACAGAAGCTGGATCAACTCAGTTATCAGTCTTGGATAATTGTACCTATTCTCAAAAGTGCCATCCACCTGCTATGGTCATGCAAATAAATCAGCGAAACCCAATCTATTACTATCAAAAATGCATATCACGTGCTTTTCAGAAAATCAATAACAATAATTATCCATAGTGTAATTATTGTATAATATTCTCTAATAATAATAGAACAATTTATTATAGAATAATGGTATACCTCTTTGTTTAAATACGTTTCAAGTAACAAAAAGGTCATATATTCTTGAACGAAATTAACAGTCAAGAAAGAGAATACTAAATGGCAAAACAATCTTGTGATTTATACATACGTCCACATCTTTTCCAAAGCATACGATTTAGAGCTAAGGTCCTTAATCTTCAAATGTACAGTGTACAGGGTGGTACAAAAATTGGGACACACTATTTCAAAAATAGATAATGATTTTCTTGTTGAAAACATGTCATATTATATACCAGTGGATAGGGAATTTATTCTGTTAGTTCTCCCAATACGTGGTAGTCGCAGACATTGACATCGGATGATCCAATTATGTTGTTTTTGGATCATCCTGATATGAGCTAATTTTCGAAACATTACGTTTTCCAACGAGATGGGGCTCCAATCTATAGATCCCACAAGAGTGTCAAATGTTTAAAGGAGAATGTGCCTAGATTCACCCCCCCCCCTTAATCACTGCACCTCTCCCTAGATCACATGATGCCAACATCTGCGACTACCACGTATGGGGAGAACTAACAGAGTTGGTATACAATGAATCCTTTATATCTATTCGGTCCCTTAAGGACAGAATTGTTGAGAAGTGGAATTCATTATTTAAATGCATACAAATGATGCTATTGACCAGTTTAGGCCAAGATTGAGGGCTATAATTGATCAAAATGGTGGACATATTGAACATCGGTTTATTTTGACAATAACCTTGGTTTGGCAAGTTTTTGAAAAGGGTTTTGAAACGAAAATGATGTCGTTTGTATTATGGACGCTGGTTGACAGACATTATAATAAATTTGAACTTATGATATACTAAATTAATTATAAATAAATTCCCTATCCATTGGTATATAATATGACATATGTTCATAAATAACGAGTTACCCATATTTTGGACCACCCTGTACATGTACAATGTTGTTATGTTTTCTATATACTTTAAGATCAATACAAATACCCAGATTCACCCTATGCTTAGTGAGCGGAGCTAATTTCAAGGGTGGTGGTTAAGACGAGGCAGGGCGCCCAAAAACCAAAAAATATTAGTACCATAATCGTTTAAGTCGTATAATTGCAGCATAAGGTGATGATATTGTGATATTTTATGCTGTTTTAGAAGTGAAAGATGTTAAACTATGCATACCGTTTGTTTTACATTCAATAAAACGAATAGTTAAGATGAAACAGTCGTTTAAAGATACAATTTGAATTTACCGCAGGAAATTACAACCTAATATTTAGACTACGGCCCACTCTGATAATTGTAACTCCTTCCTTACATGAAAGGTTACACATTCCAACCTATTTCAAACCATCTGTATGATTATACTGGACACTTTCTGGGTAGTTGGACTTTCTATAGGGGTGGCAGACGGCCCTCAGACCAATTTATACCCCTACCCCCAAAACACCATGGGGGTACTTTAATACCACCCAATAAAAAGAATACTAATGCATGTCAGATATTCATTGTTTTATATTGGGTAGGGCATGTTATGGTTAGCTAGTGCCAGAAATTTCCAATCTCTAACTTATATGGTTACCATAGAAACAGTATTTATATCTCGAAATATTCTCAATTTGACCCCCTCCCAAATGTGTCCCTTTGTTCTCAAAGTGAAATATTTGCAAATCCGTTTGGATTTTATGGCTGCTACTTTGTCAAAAATTGTATCAATATGTATATTTTAACATTTAAACACTGAAAAGTGTTCATAATGATCCTATAAATCAATAATATTTATCAAATATAGTCACACATAGCTGCTTTCAGGGAAAAGTGGGCGTGGCACTTTTTGGTACGTGTGTACTTGTTGCAGCATTAAATGAAAAATACATATTATACTAACAACAATTGACATTTAATTAGCATCTACTTATGTTGTGTAACATTGTAATATGTTCATTATCATTATTAGACACTTTAAATATTTTATATAAGTGTTATCCTGACCCTTCCCTTTATCCCTACACCCTTCAAGGTGGGCATTACCAATCGTGTCAAGTTAACATTTCTGTTTGATTTATTTTTACCATAGACAAGGTTCAAAAGCTTTACCATGAGTACTGACCTTATTAGGTGCTAAACTAATGAATGGATAGGTAGATGGCAGCACTTGTGCTGGTTGGACTACACGCTAGCATCTACCATAGACACATATTAATTTACCATATTTGTTATTTTGGATTAAAGTAAAACTGCTTTCGCATCAAACTTAGTGAGATTCAGATTGTGTTTGAAACTAGATGATCTTCCACTACGGGCAAATTATTGATATGATGCGCCATCCGCTAGGTGCGCTGATCACGATCGCACTGGACGAAATGTTGCATCTCCAGGTGCAGAATTATTATGTTACCGTCAATGGAGAAAGATTGAGACCTTTTATTTGGAGAACGTGCACAGTTGTACTTATCTGGCTCTTATACGTCCGCGCGTGTGTAAAAGTCGTATGTTTATAATGTACTTCCCAGTTTGCTACATTTTGCTACATTTGGTCAAATCATTAAAACGAACGATTTGATAGTCCAAGGACGTCTATGGATAGTCATACTTTCACCCTTGGTTCATTTTTTTCATTTATAAATAAAATTAATTTAAATTCACATATTCAAAAACTAGAAACTCTAAATCGCAATCGTATCGTTTTAGATTTTTAAAATAATGCTTTAGTTTTGAAATACGACTGTGTAAACACAAACGTTGGTCAATATTTACGCGTGAGCTTCGTCTGATTTCACTTGAGAAAATCGTTGCCAATGGGTAATGTTGATGCACCCACTACTCAGTACATTTAGATCATAGAATTATAAAATAAAGACCCTCTAATCTACATATTAATATGATCATGAATCTGAAATCTATTTAAAAATCCATTCACATTAAGTTATTGAATTGCCCGTCTAAAGTTTACGCTATACACTGAACGGTTCAATCATCAAAAGTTTATTTCTGACTACCAGCGCAGTTCATTCCTCGATATTTAGACATAAAAAAACATAACTTACAGTCATAGTATGGATGTGAATTTAATTACTTTAATACTTACATTCATAATGATTACTGTCGTGAAATTATTTTCGGAATCCGTCCAAGAACAGTGGTGTAAAACGGCTTCTCCTGCGACCAACCTAAACATGTCTGTTTGACGCAACAATTTTGCTCTCACGATGTTTTCAAGGTTATTTACAGAAAGATGACGAAAACATTTGACACCATAGCAACTTATAATTTAGATAAACATGCAGTAGAGACCCTCTAGTACCACCATTGAAAAAATCAGAAAAATCTGTTAATTTTAAGCAATTCTATTCTGCTCACCAAGAAAGCGGGTTTTACACGAAGTATCGACGGGAGCGCGTGAACACCTAGCGGTAGGTTTTAGAGTGAAAAGCATAAGACGAAATTGGCGCGTCATATCAATAATTTGCCCGTAGTGTCAGATTTTGTGTGAACCTTAAATTCATGACAATCAAAAGAATTCAACATTTAGGAAGTCAACATTAAGATTTTTAACATCATCTCAATGAGAATTTAGCACGACCTTAAGTTAAAGATCATAGAAAATTGAACATAATCAAAGTTCCTCAGTAGAACATTTAATCTCCTAAAATCACATTAAAACTATATCAGCAATATTTCCAAGCTAAATAGTATAAAAACTTCTATCACATCATTTGCAACGTTTTCATTATTCAATAGTTCAACCCTATATGAATTATTGATGATTTTAAAAGTGCAAGGAATCTAAATGAATCAGGGAAGCCAGTGATATGTATTTGCCTTATTAATTGTTGACTTATACAATGAAATAGACTTAGATGCAAGTAGAAATGATCTTGCTTTACATCATAAAAAATTCAAAATTCAGTCAAATAAGTGATATCATATTTGAAATCTTCATGAAGAATTACATTTCTTCATGCAATAAGTTAACCTTTTAGAGAGTAGTTGTGACTAATGTAATCATGCACTTATATAATTTGTCAGTAAAAGTTATTTATCCTATACTTAGTGTTATAGGTAAATAAAATGCATGAATATAATTGATACCTTAGGTGAGTGGGGATATACATGTACTGCATATCCCGCTTTATCCCATACTTGGTCGTGTTTCAGGTACATAAAGCAGGTTTTTAAAAACTTATATTTTCATCAGCGGGCAGATATAGCTTTACATTCTGTTGCGAGCAGGCAGATATAGTATATCTGCCCCCTCCGTCATAATCGCCCTTTCGGGATAGTTCCAATATCCTGAACCTCATATAGGATAATCTCTATGTATCGCCAGGTTTATCGTCTGCTCAGTAATCCCCTGCAGGAATTTCATTCTGTGCAATTTCTCATATTTTCGTATATTAGTATATGATAAATAATTTTGGGTACAAGATATAACCCTTGGGAAATACAATATTCTACCCTCAACCCCTCTTGGAGGTATATTGTATTTCCCTCAGATATATTGTATTAATCCCTGTATTAAAAATTTCCCATTAATTAAACCTCATATATAATTCACACTATTTTAAATATGAATCAAAACCATGAATTAGTGATATCCATGTTTCTAACGAAAGCATGAATTTGAAAGAAACAAACATTCTACTCATATGGTATAAAGATATTACCAGTTGTATCCATTTTAGATTTGATTGAAGAACTTCATTAGAGGCAATTTTGAAATTACAATATATTAAAAGAGGCTCTGTTGCTTAGATGGGAGAATCAATTAGCTGCATTGTTCAGTTTATGACAAAATTGATGTTTAGTGTTACTTTCATGAACACCCATCCTGTAAAATAGCATTTGGAATCTAGTAGTTTGTATATAGATGAATTAGATAAGGCATTGTCGAGGAAAAAATATCCAACAAGATTACTAATTTGCTCATGAAATTAGGCATACTTTAACTTGAAACAATTTGTAACACTCAATTTTTGGGGTTTGGAGATCGAAGTAATAATGATGAAAAACAAGC